ATATGATTATAAAAAGAATTATACTATTTAATAAAAATGGAGTTATATTCTTTGTTACATTTGCAAGAGAGGGAATGAGTGTGTTAGGACATGAGTTTCTTCTGAACTCATATCTCTATAGAGGTGTTGATATTCAATGCCTAACAGTTTTGCAGACGTGATAAATTGGAATTGTGTATTTTTATGGCAAACGTTCTGTTGTGGTATATTTATCAAATAACCAATGTCTATAGACTATATAAGTAGCAAAATATGTACTATGGAGGATTTGTAAAATATGATCTATGTGCTAAGAGAATGGCATGGGATGACATGATTCTCTTCTCCATTTCTTTTGGAGTAAATATTGGGAAAGTGTATATTAATGATTTTTTAATATCATAAAAATATTTTTAATTATGAAACATTATGAAAAAATAAGTCTGTTTGCTTCATAGCAGGAACAAACATTAAAAGTTTTTCATCATGATAAAAATTAAAACAAAATGATTCATTCTTCAGTCATACCATCTGAGATATTTAAGACAGCTAATTTGTCTTATTAATATATTTTCCTTCCTCCATACATTTAAGTTACTATAGGGTTTATTCTTAAAGGGATTTTTAGACTATTTTGGATGTAAAACTAACCTAATGACACTTAGCACATGCTATTTTGATCAAACCAATTTGACTTGGCCAAAAATCCCAATCCATTAAATTTCTTCATACAAATATCAGCAGTGTGCACAACAGACATCATAACTCTGTCCTTAAACTTTAGTAATTCTTTGCTTATCCCTGGTTGAGGTGTGGCTCATAGTTAGGTCCAAAAGTATCTGTCTAAATATTATTGAAAAGCAAAATAGGACAAAACTGTGCTTATATTTGAACTTGGTAATGTCAAAACAGGTCTGTCAAATGACCCCATAGTAAAGATTCAAGATAGTTTATAAAGGTTAAATTATATTGTGCATAAAATAATTATATGAAAATTTCAACTATGGGGGTGTAACATGGTTGAACATTGGAATCATGTGGGCAAAAAATTATATATATTCTTCAAATCCACTCTAGACCTGCTGAATCAGAAAATCTAGACATTGGACCAGGTATGTCAGGTTAGGTCATCCAGGAAGTAGAACTGAGATGGAGTTAGGACTGATTACTTACATATTAGGCCATATTTTTACAATCTCATTTTATGTGTCTCATTCATTATGTTTTATCTCTGCCTCCCCCCTTTTAATTTTTTCCTCTGCTTTGCTTTGTTAGATTGGTTAGTTCTCTCTCTCTTTCAACACCTCTAGTAGTTGGAAGGTGATCCATCGTAATATACACCTATTAGTGGTTATGCTCTATTTATAAACATCTAAAAACAGCTTTCCTGAGGTATAAGTGATATATTTAAAGTGTACAATTTGTTAAATTTGCACACATTTAAAATGTACACTTTGGTAAGTTTTGGCATAGTTTTACACCTGTGAAACTGTCAGCATAATCAAGATAAAAAACTTGTCCATCACCCCAAAAAGCTTTCTTATGCTTCTTTGTAACCCTGTATCCAAACTCTTCTTCTCCCATAGCCCACTCCTGAGGCAATCGCTGGTCTGCTTTCTGTATCTATA